GGGAGTCTGCTTCTCCCTCTGACCCTCCCCCCTCTCATGTGCTCTCTGTCTCTCTCATTCTCTCTGTCTCAGATAAATAAATAAAATCTTTAAAAAAAAAAAAAAAGTTGCCAAACAGTATACAGAGCTATGCCACCCAGTATGCTCACATTAGCCACACACAGCTATTGTGCATTTGAAGTCTTAGAACAAAACAAGCATGCAAAAATGTCATTCATAATTTTACATTGATTATATCTCGGAATAATAGTATCTTGTGTATTTGGTTAAATAAGATATATTGTTAATATTAGTGTCGCCATCTAGAACATTTAGAATTACACTAGCATATCGTTTCTGTCAGACAGCATCGCTACAGAGCTCGGCTCCGTTTTTATGAAAAAGCTTACATATTTAAAAAATTAGCTGGAAGAAAATACACCCACAGTTAAAAGAAGTAATTTCTGGGGAGCAAATGATAGGTGATTTTAATTTCCCTTTTTTGCCTATCTGATTTCCTAGAGTTGCCCCAATAACTTATGTAAAAGTTCTTAAGCGCTCAGTTCAGTAAGTCAGAAGCCACCTGGAGCATCAGTGATGACCTGAGGCTGAGGCCCAGAAAGGCTCAGGGGAAAGCCAAGGTGAGCCGGGGAAGCCTCACCACAACAAGGCCGGTTGGGCCAGGTGTCCAGAGGTGGCTGGCCACCAGACTCACCTTCTAGCAGTGGGGTGTCAGGGGCTTGGAGGAGCTGCCAGAACTCACGTTCCCCAACTTCTTTCCCCATCACGGAGGTCAGGTAGGGTCCTGACAAGGAGTTCTGGGTTCCATACCTACCAAAGGGAGAGGCAGAAGGAGAAGTGACTTTTGCTTCCACTGACCCAAGGGCAGAAACGGAACTACCCCCACCAGGGAAGTCCTGGCCTCTCCCTCAGGGCTGGCGCTGGCCAAATCCTTTCCAGGCCACAGGCATTCACCCCCGTCCCTCTTCTGCCACGCCCTGACATTGCCCGCTCATGGGACTTCACCCCTCCGCACTGACACGGACCATGGCCTACAGGAAGGGACACCTGTTACATGACTGGCTCAGCAGCTGCCCCCTCTCTGGGAGCTGACGTTGCAGGGGTGAGGAGCAGAAGCCACCAGCACCACATATAAGATGCCAGTGCCCGATGAGAGAGGGCGAAGCAAGAATGCAGAGAAGCCCTGATGTGCGAGACAGAGACACCTGGTGGTGGCAGTGGGTCTCTGCGTCTGGAAGTTTCTGTGGCTCAGTGACACTTCCCTCTTCTTATGGCTGGGTGGCTCAGTCTTCTCTCCGATTCTACACACCCCATGCCCCCCGTTACCAGAGAGGGTTGGAGTTAGGTTTCTGGCCTTTGTGACCTAGAGACTCCTTATTCACACCACCCCCTCCCTGAGTTCCTTGCCGCCAACTGTGCATTTCTCCAAACCATGTGGACGTGGCTGCCAGAGGGGTCCTCTTAAAAGCCCATGGGTCATGTTCTTCCTCTCTCCAAAAGGCTTATCAATGGTTATGTCTTAGAGAGGGAGGTTTTTATAGTTTTAAGAGACAGAAAACCACTCAGGGTGACTTTGTCCAAGGGAAAAGTGTTGTTTGAGGGGGTGTCGTGGAGCAGACCCCATTGCCCTGTCATCCCTAACTCTGTGGGTCCATGTGGCTGCTTAGAGCACGTCTCCCTGTTTCTCTCTCTCTCCTCTCTTTCTCTCTGGATCTTTCTTTCTGCAGTCCAGCTTTCTCTGCCTCCAGACATATAACCTTACTGCCTGGCCTCCACACCCAGTTCAGGCACCCACCTCCACTGACAGAATTGTTTCCCTGATGTCTCCTGGAGTTCTGAATCAGAACGTTAAGTACTATTTTTTTTCATTTTGATGATGTTATTCAGACATGAACACCAGCAGGGTCTGCATATTCTCAATGTCTGCTGGATGGCGGCCTGCCAAGGTGCTCAGTGTGTGGCCGTCTGGGGCTGTGTGGGCCCCCGTAAGCTGCAGGCTACTGGGAAGAGAGCTGAGGCGGGCTTAGTAGTGAATGGAGTGTTCAGGGCCAGGGAAGGGCCTATGAAGTCACAGCTGCCTGGACAAACTCAGGGTTGACAGTAGCTCAGGCCCAAGTAGCTGAGAGCATAGGGCTCACCCCATGCCTGGCCATGTACACCTGCTCCTCAGCAAATAGTCCTTATTTGAATGTTATTCTTTTTACACTTTATATCTATTTGCAGAGTTGTTTAGGATTTATAGATGTCTGGAGCCAGAAAAAGAAGGAACTTTTAATAGTAAACATAATAGCACACATCTAAGTCATAGTATAACAGAAATATCCTGGGGTCTGTCTGGGAGAATTTTTGTTCTTTAAAGGGGGTCTTTGTATATCTCTGGCCTGAAATTCCCTGACCTGGACAAATGCGAGGCACCAGCTGTGGGCCCTCCCTGACTACAGGGTGCTGTCCTTTGGGAACTCCAGGTGGATGGAGAAATTAGGGCTCTCTCAAACTGAGGCATATCTTTCTAGAAAAGTCTGGGGTCTGGGTGACCCAGTGGAAGGCACTCAACTCCTCTGGTTCATATTCCCCATTGGTGACACAAGAATCCCATCCATGTTATTTAGGCATGGACATGGCTGGGCAGAAATGCTTGGCCCCAGACTTGTCGAATCTTGTCAGGGTGAGAGGCAAGTTTAAGGATGTTGCCCAACCTCCACATTCTACAGGGGACTTGCCCAGGGTAATTCATCACAGGGATGAGGCCAAGATCACCTGATGATAAAAATTCTGATTCTTATATAAGCTAACCTGTGGGGCACCTGGGTGGCTCAGTCGTTAAGCGTCTGCCTTTGGCTCAGGTCATGATCCCAGGATCCTGGGATCAAGCCCCGCATCGGGCTCCC